AACAAATTATGTGAAACAAAGCCAATGCATTTTACTCTAATTTATTTCCCTATATTCTGACGTTCAAATACGTCAGTGTCACGTTAATAAAGATCCTTGTTCCCGTACAACATGAATAATCGCCCTGATGATGGCGGCAGTAAACACCTCTGAAAGCCAGTAAACTTCTACTTGACTACACGGCGCAACATCCCAGAAGACAACAATCTTTATATGGTAATCGCGCCCTGAATTCTCCGCTCACACACCATGAAGATTGACCTAGAATGAATTCAGAATGAAGATTCTTTGTATTCTTTCTTCTGTGTCACTTTCGCATTATAGCCTACGAAAATATGTAGGTAGTCATCATCTGTAATTTTATCTGCGTTTTGTGGTTGTGAGAAAATCAAACAGGTTAAAAGAGTAACGAGATTGGAATAAACGGTTCGATCCATTTAAACAAACAATGTTGATCGGATTTTTTTTAAAATGTTCTTAGTTACTAAACTGATCAATAAAAATCTCCTTATATTGAATCCAAAAGTTCATTACCATATTCATAAAAAACAAAACAAATTAATTCAGTCCGTATTTTCACACCCTATTTATATAATATTTTTCAATAAAATACTCCAATCTGCGCCTATATTTCCAAGTGCTACTTTCCCTTCAATTTAACAACAAAAATTATGCTATATTTTCCTCACGCGTGCTATAAGAGACTTTCCAAATAAGTCGCTTGTGTCACTTAAATGTTTATCTGTCGTTAGGATTGTGTCGAAGTTTGTACACGAGTACCAGGACAAGATTCAGAAATTAACTCAGACACTATCTGTTTCGTTTCACAATGTATGTAACCACTCCATACTTCATTCGATCTATAAAACAGATAGAACGTCGTTAAATAATCAATGATCACTCAAACTTGGTAATAATAAAACAGGCGGGCTAATACATACAAAAGACGAGGGTCATAATGTCAATGCCACCATGTGCTGTGAAACTAGGCGTTTACCAGCATTTTAATGCCTTGAGCATTTGAACTAAAATGCCCTGACCCTGGTTATAGACTGACAATTTGTAGTTCCCCCAAATGATTGGGTGTGTCCCAATGTTCCACTGCGTTGAGCTGAATAAAGAACCTTGAGCAGTTTCAAGGTTGATCTGACCGTGACATGTGTTTATATTACTCTGGACTCCCTAACGCATTATTGCCCGTTTTTGAACTCAGACGCAAGAAACAATGGTTTCTGTCTTTCCGGGCGGTACACGTGTAGCAGACGCACAGAATTGAGGTTAATTATTTGGAAATTGCGAGTCGGAATAGCGAAGTTGGTACAGGCCTACTGACTGGGCTACAAACTAGGCGAAAGGTCCTACATTCCCGCCAGGAACAGAGACTTTCCCTTTCTTTGGTGTCTACAGCGTTTTTGGGCCTTATCCAACCTCCGAGTAAACAAATACCAGAAGCCTATTTCTCCGGGGACATAGCGGCCGGATCGTGGATCTAGTAACTCACCTCAATCGAGTAAATTTCAAGAATGCATGGAGCTATCCCACAAAATTTCAATTGTGCTTTCGAATTCGTCAATAAAACCCTTTTATAAAATTTTAGATTTCAGGTTTTCACGGCGCTGGGTTGTTGCGCCATGTTTTCTGGTAGAAGTTTATAGGTTTGAATTGCTTGATAATGGAGGGAACAAGCACCTCTGAAACGTCGGCATACTTGTACGAGATTACACAGCACGACAATCCAGAAGACAGCAATACGCTCTTTTAAATTAAAAGCAGTTTCTAGAGCAACATGAAAGCAATTATTTTCATATTCGTGTTAAACAAAACTTTAAAATGCAAACTTTCGCTGGATTCACTGCTACTTTCTCCATTCTGTGCTTTTACGTGTATGTGTTTGCAGTAACGTAAGCGGTTTTTATGACAAATTAAGGTCTTTTATAAAGCACTATGTTAAGCAGAAAATAGTCTGTATTTCCATTTCTGTAACCTAGTGAACCTGAAGTTCTAGAGTTAAATATACATGTAGTTAAGTTATTATGGAGTCCAAACGCAGGAAATACTTGGGAAACTGGTTTCACCTATTAATACATAGCCTCAAGTAATTATGCACCGACACACACAAGGCATATTTTTTTGTTTTAATGAAATTCCATGTTCCAAGTACGTTTTTTATTCGAACGTTAAGCTTCTCTGCAAGCGAATGTAAAAACAAACCTAAGTTTTAAAAACTGTATCTCTATCAAATAATTTCCTTTTACATTTCCATCTTCCTGAACCAAATATTACAACAGATCTTGTTCTTAAAATCACAAACCTCATAAAGTGAAATGTTATAAACACCAATTCCATAGTACGTTATGACACAAAAAGTCATTATACGCCATTCTTCACCGCAGTGCCAACCTGACTGTAGAGTCTGTAAGACGTGTTTGGTGCACTACCACACAGCGGCGCCGTGGCTTAGTTGGTTAAAGCGCCTGTCTAGTAAACAGGAGATCGAGGGTTCGAATCCCTCCGGTGCCTACCACTGAAGGTGGTTTTTTTATTCATATTTTTATTCGTAAATACATTAATAGAACGATATTTGTGTATCATTTTCAGTTTTAAAGCAACTGAAATGGATTTCTTTAGCAAGGTTTTTATGCTAATATGAATGTTAGTTCAACCAAACAAGTATTTAACTTGTAGGTCAGTTTCCAAATATTATTTTTATAACTTAAAGAGCTAATTAATAACAGCACAATTATTTATCGACTTTTAATTACAGATATTAAAGAAGATATATACAAATAAAATTATAATAATAATAATAATTTAAAATAAGAGTAACCTAATAACATTTCGCGGCCCATATCACACCCATACACACTATAAATAACTAGTATTTTAAAAATTATAAACCTTCTTATTTTTTAGTTTTCTCCAGCCTTCGGTTGTTCCACGCCGAGTTTTTTTTATTTAGCCTACTACCTTGACAGGGAATTTAGTCCGTGTAAGGAAATTGCAGTGTTGTACATAGTAAATGACAGTCTGACACAAAAACCACCAAATAAGAAACGTTTATTTTTTGGGCATCTAATTTAACTTCTTTGCACAAAGATCCGCGTTCACAAAAATACGAACATGCTGAAGATGAGGTCTCCAGAAGCGTGCCTCGTCTGTTTCAGTACCCGTCTTGTGAAGTCATGCTATGTTCTGTAAGTCTGTTTGTAGATTCAACCGATCTTGTGAAGTTCTGAAGAACTGTAATAACCGAACATGGAATTATGCCAGCTAATGAAATTAGTTACGAAAAATCTTTTTAGATTAGTCATTAGTCAAATAAAAAGACGCAGTAATGAAGCACAGCTTTAGAAAGTGTTCATGGGAAACAGAACAAACTTTCAAGCATAATTCCTACCCTCAGCCAGAAGCTATAAGAAACGTGACAGGTTTAATAAAACTAAATTCAGAAAATATCTCATATGATCATAAGCACAGACTAATTCCATAAGAACAATATATTTAGGGGGCTAACAGACGCTCAGCTAGTTTAGAAATGTCCTGCACTTTATAGAACTCGAAGGTTCACTATCTTGTCCACAAGAGCCCAGGACTGGTCCCTATCATGGCTCAGACGAATCTAGTCCACACACTGCTTTTAAGACACATTTTAGTATCATACTTCCATCTATATTTCTCCTTAAGGTTTTCCTACTACAATTCGATTTGCATTTCTGATGTCACAAATGCGTTCAGCTTACACTGCCCAGACTACAACACATGCAATTTATATAAAGACACTTTAAATGTTAAATGCCATCACATATTATAACACAACACAAAGACAGTAAATCGAATTTTTTTTTTCATTCCTGCATCGTATTCGGAAGACGCCGGTTTCACTTCTCGGTCCGTAGATCGATTATAGTGCATTAGATGTCTCGTTGTTTTACTCAGTAACTCCAAGTAAATACCGAGATAGTACCTTACGTCAGGTAATGACTGCTTCCTTCCACATTCTTTGCAATTCATTAATCATCGTATCATTGGATGCTGTATAATCTGAGTTATTGACAACGGTCATTAAAAAATCCACAAACAAATAGGTCTATGCAAATAAATTAATTCCCAAAGAAACATTAATTACTACATGTAAACATTTAGACCTAGTCATTGAGTTAATCAGTTGTTCGAACCGAATAAATATTGTTTCCTTTGCGGTACGGACTAAATTCTTAGATACTATTTAGAGGAGTTTAGACTTCAAAAATATTAGTAATTATAATATTCACAAATATATTTGTGTATAATTTCTATCAGTACAGAATCTTACTGACATAAATATAACAGATATAACCTCAAAATTTCGCACAAATACAATGTTAATAATTTTTTGGAAGGTAGGAATGTTTATGTTCCATCTCCGAACAGAGCATAATGTGCCTAACCTCATGAGTTAATTAGTTATTATCATGAAACTGACGTTTCAGAGGTGCTTAATTGTTTACTATTTTACAGCATTCATCTAACACTTGTGACTAAAGCTAGCTTGTTTAGACTTACGTAACGTTATCATTAGACACATCTACGCATTTCGGAAAGAAAAAGGCTGACTCTTCGAAGGGCATGCCTTATGTGATTAATACTTACAGGTTCAGTTACTACCTCAAAGGAACCACAACGTGTCTCAGTTACAAATCTCAGCTAGTTAATACTGTTTAGGGAAAATTAAAAAATACACAGCGAAGGCCTTTCACGCATTTGCGTGCATTGCCCAATTTGACTGGAATGATTAACAAACTTGAGCTTGAATGAGAAACATGCTATAGTGGTAAGAAAATTGCCTACCTGTTATTCTGAAAATGTTGTAGCATTCATTGCCGTTTGTAATAAGGACTGAAGCCGAATCTCCACAAAGCGAATAAATTTCTTCAGGCATGAGTCGCGAAACACAATTATTACGTTAATTATTCAAAATAACACATGCCATAAGGTTGTGACAAACTGTATGTAAATCGTACCTGTGGTATGTGTGATATTTCCTGTGCAATGGCATCTTCCCCTTCTGATTCAACCAGCAGTACACATGTTGTTAATAGTATTTGCAGGATCATTGCTATGGTCCAGACATGGCTACGGATGTTACTACATTTCCACTTCATTTTCAAATCACCAACACTGATACTATTACAAAATAGTCTCATGCAGTATCAAACATCCAAATTTCCAACAAGACAAAAAATGTTACAGTTATTTATAGAAAACTGAACATAAAAGTAAAAAGTCAGTCAAATTTTCGTTACGGTCTCTTATAAAATTATTATAAAATATCCTTAAGTACTTCAGGAATCATTGTTTCAAAACACCACTATCAAAACATTTGGCACACGTTCTAAATTAATTTACAGAGTCCTATATTCGTTGATTTTTTGACAATGTCACACTGGTAGAAGCAGCAGACCCCTGTGATAAAAATGCATGTTTCTTGGTTCAAGGATGGACTGTAACTGAGCATCTTGATGCTGCGCTCCACGGTTATTAAACCTCAGTCATAAGCATTGCCTTTCCTCTCCCTTTCCGTAGCAAGGCAGTAAACAGGTAGAGATGGGGGGGCGAGTTAATCAGCAGCCAACTGCTCTAGCACAAGGGCAGGCGGCTGACAATCTAGGAGCAGCGTGTGCTGTGCACGGACCAGTGGTTATTTGTCTCTTGTAAGCGCTGTGGGAAACGAGGGTAAAATTCTCCTCAGATGTAGGTCAAACCTACCCCAGGTTTGACTTCGATGTTTACCTGAACTTCGTTATTGTTTAGGTTTTCGAATGAAAGGGTCGCGTCTCTTTTTCCCCCCCAATTCACTCCGCAAATGTAGGTCAAACCTGGTGCAGGTAGACGGCATCCTGCTTACTTCAGTTCTATAATTGTTTAGTCAGAAAACTACAAAGGAGGAATCTTATGAAGGACGTCGGCGTATATCAAAGAGTGAAATCACGTAAATAGATCTCGAAGATAAAAATTAATCATGGGTTTGATTAATCTCGTTCAAAATAAGATCTAATGGCGAGCTCTTGTGAACACGGTAATGAACCTTCAAATATTTAGAAGACTGGGTATTTATAGAATGAAGTATCCTAAAAAGGATTTCTTCAGAGTATTATTTACGAAATGTCTTTGTGCTCCGAGTCGACGACTCAATTTGTAGGTCAGGTAAATAACTTCCTGTTTACATGGGCTTCATTATGCTCATGGTTCCCTTTTTCCTGAACCCTACCGGGTAGCATGTACATCTGGATCAGCCCTGATTCAAGCGGCTAATTGACACATTTTTTTATTAGCGCGAAAATATTTCCTTTCGAAACGTCCTTCCAACTTCACTACTTCACTTATTTGTCATCAATAGTACCAAAATGGTGGTTTACGTACCGTACCGATAAAAACAGTAGGGCTGTTTAATGTAGGTTATCGTATGCCGATGGACCTCGACCGGTTAGCGGTGAGACAGTCATTCCGTCCATGTTAGTCGCCTTCTTGTGCTGGAGCAGCCAAATGTTAAGTCATCATTAGCCAAGAACGAAGAGAAAAACCACTGCTTACTGTGGCTAGCTCACTACGAATTATGACGACATTAAGAGTATGGCTGCAACAAACTCATAACACTTCTCATGACCATATTCTTTTTGTAATTAGTCGCGTTCCCATCTAATTAACTTCCGCCTCAAGCTCATTTGCTATCATATTTAAGCATCTCTAGAGAAATTAAGATTCGATCCATGTACATTACTCTAAAGTGGTTAATTGCTGTTAACTCCAAGTATAAAATTCAGTATGCTTAAGGAACTAATGGGAGCGAAGCTAACGACTAGGAAGGCACGATCTGTAACACAAATCTCCGATTCTATTATCTAACAACTTACAATTTAAATGTTAAGAAGTGCACCGATATTTATCATACACAACTAAAAACCAGATAAGTAACAATAATGTCAGTCTGTAATTTCGTAGTTGTTCTGTAACGCTGAGTTGTGCATTTTCGTCTTCGAATCCATCCATCCATCAACATAAAATGTTTGTGGATGAATACGATAGATGCATCTGAAAGAGGACCTGGGGCTAATATTTGGCGACAAAACAGCTAAAGTACGACCGGTGTTCGACTCCCAGTTGTGACAGGGGCTATTTTTAACTTCACCGAGTCCAGACCCACTCCGAGGGCCACCGGACCTCCTATAGGATTAGGGAGCTAAACTGGCTACTCCGTTCCATCCGCAGCTGAGGTCAGGAATGTGTGGAGCTAATCTTCACTCATCCACACGACTTCATGGCGCGGGCTTCATTAATAAAGCGACAAAAACATTTATTAACTTCGAGGACACTGGTTATTTGTGTTGAAAAATAATAAATTAATAGTTTTATGCATATATTTACTCATTTCAGACTTCAAAGTCGAAGTAATGTACAGAGTGATTCAATATATATATATATATATATATATATATATATATATATAGATATATATGTCACACACAAGTCACGTGCTCCAAATAGGGCGTTTGTGTGCACACATAAATACGTGGTTTATACAATAAAGGTTTTAGGCCTATACATATAATTGACAACCTCTTTTCCAGTCGTTGTGAAATTAAGAAATTCTGGACTTACCTTTAACAAATCTATGTACATAAAAAGAATATTATGTTCAACAGTCTTTGGTAATTTCTTCTATATGTTACTTTCAATAGAGTTTCCTGCCAACCCATTCGCAGAGAACAAACCTGCGTAATTTTACGATTTATTTGGTGTTGACTATAAGAAATCATAAAACGGTAAGTAATTTGTTGTATCATGGTAAAATATAAGAGATTACTAGACATGTCATAAACGTAATTTGTACAGCAATTCCAAGAGATGACGTCCAAACCGCATGCAGACATTAGAATCGTGGAGAAAGTAGTAAAATGTATCATCGTATTTATATGAGTTTCCTGTTCATCGTCATTGCAAGAAAATAAAAGTCACTTTACCTCTGACAAGCAGCTCCTCCAACTTCGAGCTGTCATGCGGCCATTAATTCTAAAACAAAGAGAATAAATACTTTATTTTCACTTTCAGTATTCTCGAAGCTGATATATACATATACACTTCATTACCGAGTGTCATTCATTCGCTTGGTACCAGACTTTCATATGCGTCGTGACTTCAAACATTCCGCCAGACCCCACCATAGGCGTAACTATAGCCTCGTTTTAATTTATTGCAACCAGAGTCGCCACCGTCAAAACTTAATTTCGAGACAAACAGATGGGCCTAAGTAGGAGACATTTATGGTATTAGAAATGAAAGCTTCATAAGTACACATACATCTAAAGGGTAAAGTCTAATTTTGCCATAAAATGTATGCATACCGTAATATCTCCAACGCTTTCGCCATGAAGATGGAGGCAGAAGTTTCCCGCAAAACGTTGGTAGATACCTACCTGCAGGTTCTCAAGAACCAGGAGACCAACATAGATATATCTACCGTCGGGAGAACCTCAAATATCATATTGTTTTCATACTAGTTCTGTTATAAATTTAAATTAATTTCTGACAGTTGCGACTATGGTAGGAAGAAATGCACAAGCTTATTGTGGGAAATGGCCGAGTCTACGTTTAGCGAGAGTCTTAGATCCAGGGGGTCGGTTTTGTTTTAAAGCTTCAGTAGTCGTAAAGATTTTTTTCACATTTGATTTACTATTTCAGAATTGTTACATAATTTTTGTACGTTCAAGGTGTATTGCAACGACAATACTGCAATAAATTGCATTATTGCTCAATATAAAAAGGTTCATTTCCGTTAACTTCAACTCAGCTAGTACGATATATAAATACGAAGTTGAAACTTCCACAGTGTTAAGATGTTTTCCTTTTGTGTCCCTTTCGGGGACGCGGGTGACTTGCCCTTAAATAGTCAGTCAGTAAATGTAGTCATATTTCTAATCTCTGGCATAGGCCTTCAGCAACGAGGTTACAGCACATTCATGGTCTACAACGCATAATTATTTCTTTCAAGCACTGCGACCATCCGACTCCAGGGTATAATCAGCTATACACTCACATATCATGACTTAAAACTGCCATCTCATACACGTCGTATTAGAGAAGCGACTTCATTTATAGCGGAAATATTAAATAGCTCCAGGACTATCGTAAGCTTTAAGTAATACAATAGAAGAAAGTTAAAGTTGGACCTAATTTTTCTCGTATATCTTTTTTATTTCTTGCCGTTACTTCTCATTCATAAATAAAAAAAAACTGCAACTTTTATGGCGTGCGACTTTCTTGAAACACTTCCATGGCTCTTAAATCAGATTATAATTTCTCCTCTCTGTGTGTCGTGCAGTTGGCAGGAATGGCTAGTCCACATTCCCCAACTTTGTTGCAAAGTTATACTATAGATTGGAAATTGTTTCTCAGGGCCCTTACCGTTTCTAACTAAAAAACGAATGGCCAGCGGATAAACTGAAAAACAAGGAAGGTAATACGTATGTGTGGAGACAACTGCAGCTGTAGCTTATTACAGTCGGTGAAAGGAGCATCATATACTCTAATTATATTCGATGTGGCGAAGAACGGTGATGAGGTTCTCGCGGTGAGTGAACATCCTTACTTTCTCCAATTACGACCTTGACGTCTGTGCGTTGCCATAACCGACTGCAGAAACAGTGATCACTAGTCATGAAAATACAACTAAAATATACGTCATATAAAATGCTTTAATGGGTAATGCAAGCGCAATTTAGTTCGCCAGAACTTGCACACAGCATACTATAATGTAAGCTTACATTTGGTCTTCCTGTCTCCCATAGAAAAATCTTTAGATTGAAACACACAAAACTGAAAATTTACTCGTTGTTGTGTATGAGTGTAAAACGTGTTATCTCGCCCTAAGAGAACAACAATGACTGAGAAATTTTGTAAACAGGATGCTGAGGAGAAAATTTGGTCAGTCTACCAGAAATCCCGCATGGACTGAAATAGGTGCGATTCTGGGCCTTCGCGGTGAGAAGCCGGCGACTAACAGCCGAGAAAGCTGCATAAATTATAAATTCATAATTTGTGCTCATCGCCAAATATCATTACGGTGATCCAATGAAGGACTGTATGACAGGCGTATAAAAGTTTAGTCGAGAAACCTGATGAGACGAGAACACTTAGAGGACACTCAGATTTATAAAATATTAAGACAGTCCAGAAATAA